ATCAGGGGGACGGGGAGATGTGTAGGGAGGGAGGGATGGGAGCATGGCGAGGGGCCGGTGCCCGAAGCTCGTCGCAGGCCAGAGTGCGACCGCGCCGGACGCGACTGCACAGGCCTGCTGACGGGCGAAGGGCAACGGCACGCGATGAGAGGGGCCGGTGTGGCGTTCCAGGGCTCGCCGCAGGCCACATGCCTGCACAGCGGCGGCCGCCAGGCACCCCCGCGCAGTGCCAGTCCGCGGGCGAGGGCACGGCAGCGGTCGAGGAACAGGAGAGGCCACCACGAGCATGAGCTTCCGGAGGTCCGCGCGGGTGTCTTGGGTCGGCGCTGGCCCCCCCTTGCCTCGCTGGCGGTGCCTCCGGCGCCAGCCCGAGAAATCGGCGCGAGCCTCCGAGAGTTGACGCTCATGTCGTTCTTAACCCTCTTGGAAGGAGGGCCCCCACTCCTCCTCCTCCTCCTCCCCCTCCTCCGCCTCCTCCTCCTCCTCCTCCTCCTCCTCCTCCTCGTCCTCCCCCTCCTCCTCCTCCTACTCCTCCTCCTCCTCCTCCTCCTCCTCCTCCCCCTCCTCCTCCTCTCCTCTCCTCCTCCTCCTCCTCCTCCTCCTCCTCCTCCTTCTCCTCCTCCTCCTCCTCCTCCTCCCTCTTCTTCGGCAGCCCGCGGCCGCAATGGTGAGGGCCAGCGCGGCATGCCAGGGCTCCTGCCGCAGACCTGCCCAGGGGCGGACTGCCACACGGGCCTGCCGGCGGGGGAGGACGCCTGGCGTGGCCTGCGGCGGCGAGTGGTGATCAGGGCCAGGTCAGACTGCCGCAGTCCGTCGCGGGCCAGAGCTGCACTCAGGCCAGGTGGTGGCCGGGCGCGGCCGCGCAGTCTCGCTGCAGGCCCGTGGGCCGCGACGCGCCGTGGAACGCCGCACTGACGCCTCTCATCGCGACCGCAGGCCATGGGCCGTGCCTCCGCCCTTCGCCCGCCGGCAGGCCTGCGCAGTCGCGTCCGGCGCGGCCGCCTCTGTGTGAGGCCTGGGGCCTGCGACGAGCTTCGGGCATTGGCCCCGAGGGCGAGGGTCGGGCCGAACGAAAGGGGGGGATAGGGAAAGGGGGGATTACGAAATCTGCTGCATGCAGCTGGTTTCGGCCCCGCCGCCGGGCCCATTCTTCGATACATGGGCGATTTTCCCGGCGCCGGGAGGCGCCGGGAAAATCAGCTACGTGAGCTGATTCTCAACCCCCCCCCTTTGCTGTCCCCCCCTTTCGCCCGGCCCGAGAGAGAACGGCTTGGGCCCCGCGATTTTCATTATCGGGGTCAGTGCGGCACTCCAGTGCTCGTCGCACGCCATACTCGTACGTGGGTGCCCGTAGGACGCTTCCGCACACTCCTTCTGACGAGCGAGGGCACGGCCGTGGCCTACGGCCTCAGCTACTGGATGCGACTACAGCATGCGAAAGCCCCTCGCCGGTCAGACTTGCGCGCCCCATTGTTTGCAAGGGTTTTTCGTGCAGGCGTCGCTCGACGCTTTTGTGACGTATGGAGGGGTGGAGCGCGACCGAGTCAGCGCCAGCTACGGTCAGGAGTTTGGCTTCGTGTGTCGCGCTGCCGGTTCTGGCCCACCAAGCTTTGGGGCGGCACGCTATCCACGCCCAAGTCCCCGAGCGTGAATGTCCCGAGCCATTCCTGGTCTCCCGCCCCGCGGAGCGGAGCGACACGCTACTGTAGATGTGACAATAATCGCCTCCCCCCTGGATCCGCGGGGGGGGGGGGGGCACGTGTTGTTGGAAGTGGTGGAGGGGGAGTGGAAGAGGAGGAGGAGGAGAAGGAGGAGGAGGAGGAGGAGGAGGGGCGGGAACATTGCGTTACTTTAGTTTCATTTCAGCGCCTACCTCCGCGATGCCTTCAGCCAGACGCTTATAATTGACATTGCCCGCATACATGCAGTAGGACGAGAGACGCCGCAGCGCTTTTTTCAGCATTTCCCGTACACTGCCTAGCATCGATACGATTTGACAGTTGCCCAGGGCCTCTTCAGACGCAATAGTGTATTGCGACGCTCTGCTATGACTGCTGGGCGAGGAAGGTGGTTACGTTGGTCGTGGAGGTTGGGAGGAGTGCGATCAGTTTTTCTGAGCCCAGTAACACTATACCGTCGCCGCTTAGACCACTCAAGGTGGCCAGCCAGCACAGTCTGCGCCAGCCTGCAGCAACTAGCTCAGGCAGCACAGTCTGAAGCCTTTCCTGCTACTGGTTCGCGTCGATGCCATTGCAACCATGTGCAGTTTGGCACAAGTCCGGGCAATTCGTCCTTTGTTACCACAGGAACGCAACAATTTGGTGGTTCATGTTTGCCCAACGCAAAAAGGAGGAAATGGAGGAGAAGGGGAGGTGGACCAGGAGGGGGAGGCGGGGGGGCAAGAGGAAGAGGGTGAGAAGGAAGAATAGGATGATGAGGAGGAGGAGGAGAAGGAGGTGGAGGGAGGGTAGGAAAATCACTGGATGGTGGCAATTGGCGCCTTCAGGTATTAAGGTCAGAGTTTTGGAGGTATGTTGGCCCCCCCCCCCTACGGCCGTCTTCGTTGGCCAGGGGGCCGTAGGGAGGGCCTCGGCTCCCTCCGGTGTCAATGACGGCTCAATGGACTGGTGTGCTGCTGGGAGTGGGACCCGGGCAGCCCAAAGGATGGCAGGTGCAGAGGGGTGGCGCTTGTGATGGTCACCACGGGAGGGGCAGAGGCCTCTGGTGGCCCCCGCCAGAGAAAGGGGAGGAGGAGGAGCCGATCCCGATGTCCAGTAGATCCGAGAATCGGATGTTCGGGAGGAGGTAATGACTTCGTGGCCGCAGGGATGCTGAATGAGAGGAGCCTGAGTAAGACGTAAGACAAAAATTGTGCCCCACCCCTGGGGGAAAGCAAACACTCATCGGCCTCATAGCAAGACGCCAGATCACGGCGCAAGGCTACCCCAGATGCGCTCGTCCTGTGTGGGACGCCTGAAGAAGCAGCCTCAATGCATCTGCCCCCCGAAGCCTTTCCATGAACTGGGTTGTACCAGTCTATCCGCGATCGCGCCGGCCATGCCGCGATTATACCGGGAAACAGGCCACGGCGAGGCACAGCCAAAATAGAAGCATGGGTCGGCACCGAACCAACGGACGGGACGGCACACGAGAAGTTTGTTCCTCTGCCACCTGGCGAAGGGGACCCCCAGATTTGTTCGATTGGGCAAGTTCCGTCGAAAGATATCAAGCGCCTCAGATCGCGAGCCCGGAAGATTATATACTTGAAAACCGAACGAGTTCAATGAA